AGCTGTCTGCTACAATATTTTCAGAACTAAAATGAATAGCGCTTAGAGACAGACATCTGGAGACAGCTTAGAATGTAACGGAAAGAACGATACCTAACTCGATCCAGTTCAATCCGATTCAGTCAGTTATAGAGCCTTCGCCGTAAACGATGTCTGCTTGTCGAAAAATCGGCAAGTAACACTATACAAAGTGTGGTGCTTGCCGAATTTTCGTCAAGTAACACTGGGAGGGTTAAAAATTTACATTTTGCAGTTTAGGCGGCAGGTTAGACGCATATTTCAAAAAATTCGTCCAGGGAGTACATGGGCCTTGCCAGTAGCCACTCTCTCAGTTGATTTTTAAAATCCTGGGCTCGAAGGTTTTTCAAGTATTGGGGCAATCGGTTGTACATCCTTACAGCCAACATAGGGAAACTGTTCTTTTTTTTATTCAGTCTGCAGTAAGGGATATCAAGGTTGGATTTTGACCTTGTATTGTGGACATGTAGGTCTTCTCTCAATGCATAACTGGCAATGTTGGTCTTTAAGTCATTTAGGGTGATAAGGATGTACTGATTATATACTGTTTGGATGTTAAGGTTTCTGAAAAGGGGTCTACAATGTTCGTCGTAGTCAGCAGATGAAATGACTCTAACCGCCTTCTTTTGTATCAGAAGTACATCCTTACAACCAGCTGCATGGCCCCAAACTTCCAACCCATAGCTGAGATGGCTGTGGAACAAAGCAAAGTAAACAGTCAACAAATACTGCTTTGTGAGCATGGGTTTGAGCCTCCTGAGGAGATGTAATGCCCTCGCAAGCCAAGTGCAAACTTTTGTTGTATGATTTTCCCAGGTGAGTTTGGGGTCGATAGTGAAGCCCAATAATTTAACCTCAGGCAGGTTGCCAGGGATAAGATTTCGAGACAGAGTACAGGTCATGTGTTGGGTTTTACCTTCATTTAGGCAGAGCTTGTTTACCTTGAACCAGTTCTTAGTAATCTCAAAAGACTGTTCAGTTTTGACCCTGGCCTCCTCAGGAGTACTTCCTTCTGCAAAGATGGTCGTATCGTCTGCAAAAAGCAAGACGTTACCAAGCTGCCCGAGGTCGTTCACCATCACCAAAAAAAGCACAGGGCCCAACACAGATCCCTGGGGCACGCCATGTTTAACTGGCAGTGGTTGTGAGTTTGCCCCTCTTACAGCCATTATCTGTGTTCGATTTGAGAGATAGGATTCAAAGGCATGCAGTGCTGGCCCCCTAACACCATACAAATACAACTTGTCTAGCAGATGATTGTGGGGAACGCAATCGAAAGCTTTACTTAAATCGGCTAGAGTCAGTGCAACTGTATTTCCCTCTTCAAAGGCATCGACTATTTTAGTGACAAGCTTAAGAACTGCAGTAGTGGTGGTTCTACCACTCCTAAACCCATATTGAGAGTCGCTAAACAGACAGTTTGATTCAAAGTGCTTAACAAGTTGATTCTTTAATATGGTTTCATAAACTTTTGCGAACATAGGCACTATAGAGATAGGCCGGTAACTTCCCATATCTTCAGGGTTACCCTTCTTGAAGATAGGTACGGTTTTAGAGACTTTCAATGCATCGGGAAAAACCCCATGGGTCATGCAGACATTGAGCACTTTTGCGAGGGGTTCAGCGATAATATCGGCAACATGTTTCAGAACAATAATGTTTATACCATAGATGTCTTGACTAGTCGAGTTCTTAAACTGTCTAATTATTTTGATGATAGTTTGAGGCGTTACATAGAACCAGTCATTTAGGGGGTTCACAATAGGCTTGTTCGGTACTTCCGTTCCAGTGTTTACATTACTGACAGTTACTGAGTCTACGATTTTGTCAATTTCCCCAAGAATATATTTGTTAAATTCATCAGGATTTGCAGTACACTTGAGAGTTGTGGTTTGTTTTGATACATTATTCACCAGATTCCATGCTGCCTTGCAGGGATTTTTGGCAGCCTCAATACCAATCATGTTATTAAGTTTCTTTGCCTCATCCACCTTTGCTCTGTACAACCTCTTACTTCTAATGTATAAACTAAAAAACCTATTTCTGTCTATTTCATCCACAGCATATTTATATCTATCGCTAAACGCCAATACAAATTTCCTCAGTTGAACCAATTCAGGTGTGTACCACGACTTGCTACCATTATGTTAAGGCCTACTCTTGGTTGGCCTAGGCTTAGGTACCAGTAGTTGATGAAGGTTTGGGCTTAGGCTTACGTCCAGGCAGTACTTTCTGAGGAAAGACCTGGTCAAAAGAGTCCATAAAAATATTAAAGAAAGAGTCAAAAGCTATAATCGGGTCATTAGTCTGAATTTCTGCATTCCAGTCTTTACACATTAAGGATAACCTAAGGTAACCAAACTTATCTTCACTAACAGGTCTTATAATCTTACTATACATAGCAAACCAGGGTAGGAAATCTGGGTTACTCACCCTTTGAGATGGGACATCCAAGATTACCGGGCAGTGATCCGGGCCACTATCGGATCAGCAACGGTAGTCGCACAAGTCCTGGTGTCAAGCGAAGTCGCAAAGGTGTCCAAACACACAGGGCCACGTGTGGGAGTACGCTTGTCACAAACAATCCATGGCTTTTTAGAACAAAGTCGAACCTGTGGGTCTTTGTTTCATCTTGGTTTAGATGGATGTTGAAGTCACCGCCCAGTATTATTGGAGTGTTGAAATGAGCCAACCAGGTCAAGCATCTGTCCAAATTTGTGAAAAAAGTATCAATATCCCCTCTAGGGGGTCTAAATACAGAAATAACAAAAAGTGAGAGGTCCACCAGTTCCACTCCTATGAGTTCAAAGTCTGTTTCAGTACAGAATACACTAAGATCAATCTTCTTATATTTAATGGTATTAGCCAGATAAATCGCTACACCACCATTCTTATGTTTAGTTCTATATAGGCCACTGGCCAAAGACAACGAGTTTATCTCACTATAAAATTCGGCCTCACTCTCTTCTAGCCAATGCTCACTCAAACATAAAACATCAGGAGATACATCATTTAAGAATAGAGACAGCAAGTTAATTTTTGTCCTAAGGCACTGCACATTGACACAAGCCAGCCTAAGTTCACTTTGACTTACTCTAGGCCTACCCTCCAAACATCTATTACCAGTCCTAACAGAAGGTAGGTTAGAGTTGTCTGTCGTTATTGGAGCGATTTGTTCCGAGGTCTTATGAATAAAAAACGTTTCAGTAGTGAATTTTTTGGCCATACTGAACTATTAAGCAAGTCATCTTTCTTGTTGAAATCCACACCAACTTTGAAACTTGCATTTCCTCCTTTACTATCAAGCTTTTCAACCAACGCTTCAGCTCCAGCAAAAGAATCCGATATGAACTTTTTCACTGCTTCAGCTGACGTGTCACTTATTATTAGCCTTCCTAAGTAAAACCAGGCTTTTTTCTCACTAGCACAAATTGCAGTGTCATTACCAGTTCCAATAACAACTTGCATTGATTTACGTTCCGAGTTTCTCCTTTTGTTGGGAGCGTTTGCATCATCGCCATGTTTGCTGTTGCTGTTTGACTTGTTTGATGTTGGTCCACGGCCACGTCGATTTTGTTGATCGTCCGCTTTCTGTCGCTGGTTGTCACTTTTCTTCTTTTTATATTCAACTTTACTCCACCCTCCCTCAGGGATTACATTGGTTTTGTTAGGGAAATCCGGAAAGTCATCATTATTTAGAGTAGATTCATTTACGCCTACACTCTTCACGCTTTTAGATGTTGTTAAAATCGTGCTAACATCATTTTCTCGCACTTTCGATTCCGTTGACGGTCGATTTGAACTACCGAAAGGATCAATCGGATGATTTGCGATAACTGAAGTTTTAGAACATAACCTCTCATGATTTTCAATATTTATAAGTCTATTGTTAATTTCTACATTATCACTTTTCACTTCACGGACCATTTTGACTACATCTTCAACAATTTTCCGAAGATCTGTATATTTTTCAGCTTCCACGTCTTGTTTCTTTCTTCATGTGCTGCAGTTTGCCGACACAGGCTTCACATATCCACTTCACAGTATCTTTTAAATCTACAATCTTCTTATAATCTTTGATTTCAACTCCTACACAGGCAATATGATGCCATTTGTCACAAAAACCATCACACTGCAAAGCTTTGTCATTGTCACTATCTTTTACTGAAATATTACAACTGGGACAACAGAGAACGTCTTCACCTGCCGCCATTGCCACAGCCACCTCCCTTAAAATGTTCCACAGCCACCCCTGTTAAATGTTCCCTTTAACAGGAAAGTACCTAGGACTCGACGTTCTGTACCCACGAGCACCTCCTCTTCCACATGCACAGTAGTCCTTGGAACAGTTCCTGGGATAACAGCTATTTGTGTAATAGCTTCACTGTAACTCTGTATTGGTCCTGATTAGATAGTTGTTTCATTCAACAGTTGCAGCAGTTGCAAGCAAACTGTGCTACTGTGCATTGTGGTTTTGGTTTTGTAAAGGAAAAGGTGTTTATTCTTTACTGTTTATTTACTTTTGACTTGAGCTGCTTGAAAAGGTGTTTTATGATTATGAAAATTAAAGTGCTGTGAGTGTGCTGAAGCTGATTTGAGGTATTGACAATTAAATGTTTTACGTGCATGAATTATTTATTAAGTTTTAAGTGTTCACTTAACCTATATTTTTCGGATTCCTCAAGAAAGAGGGTTAGGTTGAGTTGTGTTTGTGTTTGTGTATGAATTTGTTAGATTGCAGTTTTTGTAGTGGTAGGTCTAGGTTTATTTTAAGTAAGTTGGGCCTTTCAGTTGAGTTTAGGTCGAAGTTATTGCCTTTGAAATAGTTAAATTAATAACTTATCTATTTATAAGAGTAGGCCTAAGTTAGGCTCTAAATGTCAACTGGAATGTCGAATGTGTGTGTAGAATTTTTGTTGTGAAGTTTTAAGTGTAAGTAGTTTGTTATGAACTTTTGAGTGATTCAGTTTTAATAACTTAGAATGACGTCTCATGTGTGTGAACTGTGTGATAAGACATTCACTAAAAGGTTTTCTCTGAAGAGACATTATGATAATGTTCACAACGGATACAGCCCTAATGATGGAAACCCCAATTGTTCACAAACTGTTCAGTGTGCGATATGTAGTTCAGACCTTGGTAAGACAGCCAATTTAAAGTGTGAACTGTGTGATAAGACATTCACTAAAAGGTTTTCTCTGAAGAGACATTATGATAATGTTCACAACGGATACAGCCCTAATGATGGAAACCCCAATTGTTCACAAACTGTTCAGTGTGCGATATGTAGTTCAGACCTTGGTAAGACAGCCAATTTAAAGTGTGAACTGTGTGATAAGACATTCACTAAAAGGTTTTCTCTGAAGAGACATTATGATAATGTTCACAACGGATACAGCCCTAATGATGGAAACCCCAATTGTTCACAAACTGTTCAGTGTGCGATATGTAGTTCAGACCTTGGTAAGACAGCCAATTTAAATGAACACTTACTTTCTAAACATCAGATCAATGTTGAATCAGAGAAAATTACATTTACTAGTGAAGATGAATTTTTAAAGTGGAAGAAGTGTCATGAAGAAAGTGAAAAATCTCTGTTCATCAACAGGAGGGGTAGCTACCGAAGTAAAGACAAGAAAGTGACATACTATCAGTGTCATCGTTCGGGTAATTACCGAACGCACTTGTCTTCTGAGTGTCAGCGTAAACGATCCATGAAAATTCAGGGAACAAAGAAAATAAATAGTTACTGCCCTGCAAAAATGAAAGCTATTACTTCGATGATAAATGGAAGCGTTGAAGTGGAATTTTGTAAGACTCACGTAGGACATCAAGCTTTGTTAGCCCATTTGAGTATCCCTGATGATGAACGACAAACTATTGCAACCAAAATTGCCCAAAAAATCCCGTTTGATGCTATTATTGATGAGGTTCAGAAAACAGTTACTAAAGAGGTTACGAGGAGACATCTTCTGACAAAACAAGATCTGAGAAATATAGTGAGAGAATATAGTTTAGATAGTGAATGTGTACGGCATACAAATGATGCGATCAGTGTTGAAAAGTGGGTAGAGATGGAAATAGCTAGTGACAAGAACTCAGTCATAATGTACAAACCTCAGGGTCTTGATTCATCCGATTACCCTGAACTAACCAAAGACGACTTCATGCTGGGCATAATGACTGAAGCCCAAGCTGGCATGCTCAAGAAATATGAAAGAGATTGTATCTGCATTGATTCTACCCATGGAACTAATGCATATAAATTTGAAATGACGACTATCTTAGTGCTGGATGATATGCGTCAAGGATTTCCTTGCGCATTTTTGTTTTCAAACAGAAATGACCACATAGCTTTGGACTTGTTTCTAAATTCAGTAAAGAGCAAAGTTGGAGAAATCAAAGCAAAGGTACTTATGACAGACATGGCAGATGTATTCTATAATTCTTGGAAATCGACTATGGGAGATGTTGACATGAGATTATTCTGTTCATGGCACGTGCAGAGAGCTTGGCAGAGAAGACTGAACACGGATATTAAAGATTTGGACCTGCGGAAAGAAACATTAAAGAAAATGTACACTCTACAAAATGAAGTGGACGTGAAAAACTTTGAAAAGATTATGCCTGTGATTATCAGCGAGGTATGTCAATGTTCTGAAACAAAAGAATTTGGCTTGTATTTTAAGGAAAACTACGGCAAAAATTATAAATCATGGGCCTATTGCTATCGCAAAGGAGCAGGTATCAACACAAACATGCACCTTGAAAGACTTCATGGAATTTTCAAGCACCTGTACTTAGTGATGTGGGTCGGGTAAATACCCAGTGGGTAGGTAAATATAAATTGGGTATTTACCCGGGTTTTTACCCCAGGCCCGGGTAAATACCCAAAAACTGGGTATTTATAATTTTTATTAAAGTTAGAGAAGATTTAGATGTTTTTTTGCAATTATTACCCTGTAAGGATAGTAAAATGATGATAAAATGTGTTAAACAAAATTTCATATGGTCACTACTAGCATTTTACTTATGGGTATAATCGCCATAAATACCCAGGTCTGAGCATAAAGCATTATCGGCATAATACCCTGGTCGCATGGTTGCACTGGTCCTGACTCCTTATGATTTTGTAATTTCTATGATAGATAAATGAATTTATTTCATTGGAAGTGAAGAAAAATAATTTGTAAAGTAATAATTATTATTTAGAAAGAATGACAGGAAGATTTAACCTAGTAGTGACCTATGTGTAAACAACTTATGAAAATAATTAAAATTCAATCTGCAGGATATGGCAGGATTTAATAATATTTTTGTTCTAGATCTTTTGTTGGTATCAATGGTATCAAAATAAAAAAAAAACCTAAATTTATAAACTTGTGATACAAAACATTTGAATTTATAGCACAATAAATCTTTCAAAATTATATTAAGTTAGACCAAAAAACAGGAGTTACATTTTTTTAGTAGGTTTATCCAAATATATTATTGTTTCCAACTAAGCGGTAACACAGAAAAGTTAAATTACTTTTAGTATTCTGCCATTCTGTCTATGTCAATCAGGCTTAGGTCTGTCTAGCCTTCCAAGCCATTTATACAATAGAAATTTTAACTATCATAATTAAATAAAAGTAAAAGTAGGTTTAGGTTCACTATTTCTCTGATGAGGTGTTGTCTTGATTTCATTTCATAGGGAGTGTTTAGTTTCTAGCATTCTCAATCAAAGGTAGCATCACAGGCTTGTTTTATTACTGCACACCTGCACACCCAGCCTGTTTATGTTATGGTTATAAATTTATAAAATGATAAAAATTGAAATAGCCACAGCCTTTTTTAATATCCTATTTTTTAGTATGTTAAATTTAACTGATGTTACTCGATTTGAGACACGAAACCCCATGCTTATTAAGAAACTTTATGTATTATTTACAAAAAAAGTGCTAAATCATTAAATAAAAGGTACTATCAAAGCTTCAAGTTACTGTAAAAGGTGTTATAGGCTATCCTAATTTATCATGTAGTGATAACAATAACATATTTAGGGGTGAATATAAACAAATTTAAATTGATTTCATAAATACCCAAAATACCCGGGTATTTATGGATTTTGGGTATTTACCCGGAGGGTATTTACCCCGAGTTTTAAATACCCAGGTATTTTACATCACTACCTGTACTTGAAAGGTAAGATGGTAAAGCGCCTTGACATCACCCTACACGCTCTTCTAAGATTTGTAAATCGCAAGCTGTTTGATCGATTGATTGTTCTCCATAAAGGTAAGCTCACCCACCAACTTCGAACTATAAGAGACCGGCATAAAAAAGCTATGACACTAAGTTCCAAAGAGGTTATTTCGAATGATACAAATAATTGGCTTGTTTTCTCTTCAACATCTGACTGTGAAGTTTATACAGTGTCATTGAATGAAATTCAATGCGAAAACTGTCCTCTGATGTGTGAACATTGTAATGCATGCATTCACAAGTTTCAGTGCACTTGTATTGATGCTTGTGTTAAGTGGAACATGTGTAAACACATACATTTAGTTTGCTCTACACTTGATCACAACATACCGCCTGTGCCTTTGCACCCTGAATTGAATGGGCCACATCTGTCTCCTGAAAACAATGACAAAGAGGTAAGTGAAACTGAATTTGACAAAAATGAAACAAGCCTGATTCTTTCTACGGTAAGAAACCCTTCACAGAACAATGATGTAGAAACTATGAGAAATAAAGCAACAAACCACTTTTTTCCATTTTGAAAAGAGCAACTTCAGTTCAACAAATGGAAATTGTTGAAAGGACATTGAAATCGTTAGATCCTCAAATTGACGCTCTTAAAGAGAAAACATCCAGCTTATTTGTTCCCATTGATAACATTAATGTAAGAAAAAATATTGAGCCTCAAAGACAGTTCTCACTAAAAAAAAAAAGAACATCAATCGACTGAAACTGAAACCTACTGTTAAAGAGACTCATGAGATTAGAATTGCTGCACTACAGAAAGCTAATAGTAATATACAGTCTTTGGAAATGTCATCAGATTTGTTGTGAATACGTTAAGGGTAAAGGTAGAATAGGAGATGTTAGATTAGGCTACTGTAGGCTAGTTTAGATTAAGAGATTAATTAATTTATCAAGTTATCTTAATCAGGTAGGTAGGTAATCTTAGTCAGGTAGGTTTGTCTGGGCTAGATCAGGTTAAAATGAGATAATATGCAATTCCATCCTTTCTTGAACCATCCAACCCTATTAAGTTAGCCAAATGTAATCCAACCTTTCCTATTCTAACCTATTAAAAATAATAATAAGGTGATGTTAAGGTAACTACCTAACTTACGTGAAGTTTATAGGTTAGGTTATAGGTTTTCATACTTGATGCATCCAAGCAACCGGGCTGTAGTGATGCTGATGGTTTTTTAAAACCTAAACATTGTTAATACTAATTATATTGTAAATGTGCTGTTTAGGCTATATGAATTCAGCTGGTAATGGACATTTTAATGTCAGTTAGCCTACAACTTTTTTGAGATATGTAGTAAACAGCCTAGCCTATTTCTGTTAAAAAATTATCAATTCATTTTGGTTAGTAAATTTATTATTAAATAGATTAGGAAATTATTCATTGAAATATTCAATTTTCATATCTGAGTCTTAAACAGCACATATTTTAAGTTTCTGCCTTATTTATCCTCGTGGCCAGGTAGGCTACCGGGTATTGTATTCACACTTTTAATAGGGCCTAAGTTTAACTAATTCAATTGGAAAGCATTGTATGCCGTGAGCTGTGACTGCACTTGGGAGACCATCATCCGAGGGAAACCTTTGATGATGTACACGAGCTGCCTGGTGGCAAAGTGCGGTGCACGGCTTCAAAGTTTGAAACGATAGATAAGAATGTATGCCTATGTTACGCATAGCTGAGTTTTCAAATTAGGTGGTAGAACCTAGTTTATGCATGTATTCTTTATTTTAGTTGATTTTAATGCTTAATGCTTAAGAAATTTATGTATATATGTGAAATTCCTCTATCTTGTTTACAGAAGGATATGGAGAATCCTGGCGGGAATGCCTTATGACTGTTCGTTAATGGTTTGCCTAGACCTGCAATTTTTTCCTAGGAAGATATATGTCACTCAAAACAAATTTCTAAGAATATATTACGACTAAATAATTTCTTCGGAAAAGCATTTGAGATTAAAGAGGTGCTCTTCTGTCGTAGAGGTGATAACGACCACATAAGGTAATGTTATGTTGTAGGCTAGGTTATTTTTTACATAAACAATAATCTAACCTAACGTTAATTTATTTACCTACCTTGTTACCTGGCTACTCCCACCCTTTACCCGATCTTGTATTTTGTAATTTTTTTGGATGTTATACTAAATAACTTCTTGATCAGCTTTGTACGTGTTATTAAATTTATGGAAAGTAAATAAAAGTTACGTTTAATAACACTTAAAACATATATTTACCCTTATACTGTTAACTCACAAGATGGTAAATATACATAAAAGATGGATCGGCACTTACCGTACCATATTTTATGTACAGTATATCTACCGTCTTGTGAGTTAACAGTATAAGTGTAAATATATGTTATAAGTGTTATTAGATGTATCTTTTATTTACTTTCCGTTTTTATACCCTCCCCTCACCCCAATATTACTTTTTCTGACACTCTTTTATCCCTACATGTCTCTTTTATCTTTTACTTAGAAATACGCTTAAAAGTGACATAGACAATAGACAAATTTCTTTATTATTATTTCCTCCAAGAAATACAATAGGCCCTAGCGACCTGATTGTTTATATCTCCAATTAGTGAGGCAGACCTATTTTGAGTGCTTTGTTTGCATGGTTTTCCTTAGGCTAAGTTGTATATATTGACGATGCCCACTGCATTTGTACAATGCCTAAAAGAAAAGAAAACCCCATTTTATTACCTCTTGCTTCACAAATATTTTCTGGTCTTCTATCTTTATAAAAAATAATTTTATATGTTTCAAAGGAAAAAATTGCAAAGGATAAAGTCTAGGTAAACAATTACTGACTGTTCTTAATGCTTAAGAAAGAATTTGTTTGTAAAATTTCTCTTGTTCACAGAAAAAGGCTGCGGAAAATCATGACCAAATCCTGCTACGCTGTGACCGCCCTCCCCAGCCATCTTAGAGGGAGGGGGGAGGTGTGTTTAGTGGGTAGTCTGTTTCTGTTAGTCCCACACTACCCTTGCAGGAGCAAGGGTGTGCGTAAATGCATTCACACCTTCCTACCAAAAAAAAAAAAAAAAAAAAATGTATAGGGCCTATATATTTAATTAAAATATTTATTACTAGTCACAGTTAATTCAATTGTGGATTGTAAAGAGTGACGATAAATTAATAATTTAACTACCTTAATTAATGGGAGTAACAATTAATTATTAAAATAGGCCTACTCTTCAAGAAAACCTCCCCCCGCCAACCAAGCAAACCTGCCGACTAAGCGAATTTCCATCTGTCTAGATTGATTTTCAATCAAATCTATAACATTAGGTTCGAGTACTTAGGTTTGATGCTACAAGGAAACTAATAAAGTGTGTTTTTTAGTAAAATATTAATAGTGTGGTGCCACTACACTTAGCTTAGTATAAAATAAAAAAGAAATTGCCAAGTTTGATTAAAATATGTCCATAAACAAGCAAACAACAGTTTAAAATATTCTCCATAAGAATCACATGGGAATATAGTTTCCCATGTGAACAAGGAAGAAAATCAGGAAGTTTACAATTTGTTGAATGTTATCCGTTACCATTAACCGTACAAAAAAACTTTGA